AGAGAGAGAGAGAGACCAGAGAGAGACCAGAGAGAGCGAGATAGAGAGAGAGAGATAGAGAGAGAGAGAGAGACCAGAGAGTTAGAGAGACCAGAGAGAGAGCAGAAAGAGAGAGACCAGAGAGAGACCAGAGAGCGAGACCAGAGAGAGAGAGAGAGACCAGAGAGAGACCTAAGAGAGAGAGACCAGAGAGCGAGACCAGAGAGCGAGAGAGAAACCAGAGAGTGAGCAAGATCAGAGAGAGAGAGAGAGAGAGACCTAAGAGAGAGAGACCAGAGAGAGAGAGAGAGACCAGAGAGAGACTAGAGAGAGAGCGAGACCAGAGAGAGACCAGAGAGAGAGAGACCAGAGAGAGACCAGAGAGAGAGACCAGAGAGGGACCAGAGAGAGAGCGAGAGACCAGAGAGAGACCAGAGAGAGAGCGAGACCAGAGTGAGACCAGAGAGAGAGACCAGAGAGAGAGAGAGACCAGAGAAAGAGAATATAGAAAGATACCAGAAATAAAGACCAGAGAGAGATTATAGTCCGGAGAAAAACTAGAGAAAGACCAGAAACAGAGCTCAGAGAGAGAGACCCCCCTCGCAGGAGAGACGTGTCCAGAGCAGAGGACTGAGTGTGAGCCATAAAGACATAAAGCTCTTTTGTGAAGCACCAGGATGACACTGATAACCACGACTCGAGGATCCCAGAGGAAGTGTGGACTTACTGTCATTAAAGTGTAATCAATACAGACGCACAACGCTCTGAGGAACGCACACTATCTCAATACACGGACTCATTGAACTGTTCTGGTGCTATTTGCAGTCAAACCACTATGGAATACATGTGCAAGAGTCCCCAGAGTGCACCAGACAAGTACAGGAATAAAACAAGAAACAATCGTCGTTGTGAAATGGATCAACAAACACAGCTTCAATACAAGTGAAGATCATTAAAGTGCTTTGTTCGGCCTGAGAACAGCTGAAAGAAGTTGTTAGCATGTTAGCATGTTAGCATCTCAGCCAACGATGTCTTCTGCCAAAGGGAAGAAGCTGGAACATGGTTAGATTTAAGAGTATGGATTTGTGATGAACCTCCAAAACAGACAGATCACAGCATCTCTCTCTCTGGTCTCTCTCTGGTCTCTCTCTGGTCTCTCTCTCTGGTCTATCTTTGGTCTCTCTCTCTGGTCTATCTCTGGTCTCTCTCTGCTCCCCCTGTCTGTTCTCTCTCTCTGGTCTCCCTCTCTGGTCTCCCTCATTGTTCTCTCTTTCTGGTCTCTCTCTGGTCTTTCTCTGGTCTCTCTCTGTTCTCTCTCTGGACTATCTCTGGTCTCTCTCTCTGTTCTCTCTCTGGACTATCTCTGGTCTCTCTCTCTCTCTCTAGAGTCTAGACAATCGCTGGTCTCTCTCTGGTCTATCTCTGGTCTCTCTCTGGTCTCTCTCTCTGGTCTATCTCTGGTCTCTCTCTGGTCTCTCTCTCTGGTCTCTCTCTGGTCTATCTCTAGTCTCTCTCTCTCTCTAGACTATCGCTGGTCTCTCTCTGGTCCTAATGGAGAGATTTACTTCCTGTCTCTGACGTCAGCTGAGACCCAGCAATACAAAAATTAGCTCCACCTAGCTTACAGTCAAACCGGCTTCTTCCACATTCAGCCAACACTATGGGTGATGTCACACTCAGTCAGCTCAACCACTGATGGTACAGGCCTGACTGATGGTATGGTCTGACCTCATCGCTCCAGAGGCCTGTAACCACAGACGCACATGTCTGTAAAACTATTCACAAATCATAGTAACACACTCCTCCAGCGGCCTCTAAACCAGCTCGTAAATGCACAGCAGAGACCAGAGAGAGAAGAGAGAGAGAAGACCAGAGAGAAACGACAGAGAGAAAAGAGAGAGAGAGAAGACCAGAGAGAAACGACAGAGAGAGAAGAGAGAGAGAGAAGACCAGAGAGAAACGACAGAGAGAGAAGAGAGAGAGAGAAGACCAGAGAGAAACGACAGAGAGAGAAGAGAGAGAGAAGACCAGAGAGAAACGACAGAGAGAGAAGAGAGAGAGAGAAGACCAGAGAGAGAAGAGAGAGAGAAGACCAGAGAGACCACAGAGAGAAACGACAGAGAGAGAAGAGAGAGAGAGAAGACCAGAGAGAAACGACAGAGAGAGAAGAGAGAGAGAAGAGCGAGAGAAGACCAGAGAGAAACGACAGAGAGAGAAGAGAGAGAGAAGACCAGAGAGAAACGACAGAGAGAGAAGAGAGAGAGAAGAGAGAGAGAAGACCAGAGAGAGACCACAGAGAGAGACCAAGACCAGTAAGATACCAGAGAGACCAGAGAGAGAAAAGAGAGACAAAAGAGAGATAGAGAGAGACTAGAGAATGAAAAGAGTGACCATAGAGAGACAGAGAGAGACCAGAGAGATACCAGAGAGAGACCAGAGAAAGACCAGAGACAGAGACCAGAGAGATACCAGAGAGAGACCAGAGAAAGACCAGAGACAGAGACCAGAGAGAGAGAGACCAGAGAGAGACCACAGACAGAGACCAAAGAGAGACCAGAGAGAGACCAGAGAGAGACCAGAGACAGAGACCAGAGACAGACCAGAGAGAGACCAGAGACAGACCAGAGAGAGACCAGAGACAGACCAGAGAGAGACCAGAGACAGAGACCAGAGAGAGACCAGAGACAGAGACCAGAGACAGATACCAGAGAGAGACAGAGACCAGATAGAGCACACACCCACATGTCGGGGCCTCCCTTTGGGCCCTTCACGGCTCAGCGGTGAAAGGTCAGTGCGCTGAGCCTCGTGCGTGTGTTAAAGAACCAGGGGAGGATAATTTAAGAATCCCTGGTGCTGGAGGTTTATGGTGCGGAGAGAGGCCCCACGTCTCACAGGTGTGCTCCATTTGCACACGCACACTGGGGATAAGAATAGACCGGACTGCATGGAGCTTTACTGCACTGTAAAACGGGTCTGGGTTTTCCTCTAGTCCTATCATGTGTGTGTGTGGGGTTTTAATGTGTACATGTTCCACTAATATACTTCATGAGTTTCCGTGGAATTAGATAGAAACACAATATTCAACGCTCGCCATAATCACATCCTTCAAGCGTACATCTGATAGCCATTATTAGTATTATTATTATTATTATTATTATCAGTATTAGCTTGAAAATGGTGCCGTACTTTCTATATCGCTGCTAGAACTGTAACTCTGTATTGCACCTTATTGAACTGTATGTTAATATTTATCTTTAAACATGCTAAATTGAGGAAGCAAAAAAAAAAAAAATGAGTTAGCGACAATTCTAGACTTTACAGTAAGCTGCGACTTCTAAAATCTGGAACAGTCTTCCTGAAAATGTGAGACAGGCTTCTGATCTGACGAGGTTCAAATCCAGGTTAGAAACAGTTATTTTTAGCCGTGCACACAACTGAAGGATTGTGTACGGACTGTGACTTACAAAGAAACCTTTTTGAAGTTCTTTAGACCATGCGGCTTATACAGTGATGCGGCTAATATGTGTGTTTTTTAAAGCGGTAGAGCAGAGTTTTAGCAGCTACAGGACACAAAACAGATGAAGGTGAATGTGCGGTGGAAGCTAACGGTGACGCTAACACCTTGTCATTTATCATGTCGTCTCTCTGCCACATTACAACATGAGTACCTGCGGCTTATATTCAGGTGCGGCCTATATGTGGGGAAAAACAAATAGACAGACAGAGCCAAATGTATTATGGGAACTTTTTTGTCTGATGAGGCCAAAACACAAATTTGTTCTAAACTGGTCAAAGGAATCATACAATTGTGTGCATTATTCAGTCACTACTGTAGCCACAGCTGCCCCAGGGCAACAACTGAGTGAATAACCATGCACTGATTCAGAGGTTGAGGTTTCTTTGAAATGTAAAGTGCAATATAAATAAAATGTATTATTATTATTATTATTATTATTATTATTATTATTATTATGAGATGTGACTAGATAAGACTTTGAGAAGCAGTTATGGCAGTTTCTCCTTTCCTTTTTGCGACGAACAAAACATAAATACAAATTCAACGTCGCACTGGCGTCAACAAACTCCCAAAGGCCTTGGTTTTTTCATACATGTTATTTCTTTGCCCCATTGTTCCCGGTCTTGCCCTTTCTGCCACACACAACATCCTGCAGGCGAAGGTCAGGACCGGGCTCTCTATCCTGCCCTTTCTGTTCCTCTGCTTCAAACACGCAAACACATCCAGCTTTCAAGGATTAAAGGAGCAGTATGTACAAATGTGGCCAGAAGTGGTACTGCAGCCTCTCCCACTCTCCCTGACTCAGGTTGCCAGATATGCAGACGAATCCAGCTGGGACCATAACAGCTGAATAGACAAGAGTTTTGTCAACAACAAATCTATAACCAACACCTTTTTCACAAAGATAGATTTCCTGGTTTTATTCTTTGTTTTGTCATTAATGGTTTGATCATTTTAGTTCTGCGCCACATGGTACTTTACCAGTGAGATTAGCTCCACGCGGTGAAATCTGGTGCCCGGATCACAGACTTTCTGATTGGTGAAACTGTGGAGGGCGGGACATCGAAATTAAAGCAGTAACAAAATTTAGGGGCTGGAAAACTAATTTAGAAGTTTAAATATCTTGAACTACTGTTATCAGTTAAAGAAGTATTGGAAAAGAAAATGTTTTATTAATGCCTTTGGACAGATTAGGGCCCTTTAATGATGACAAATTAGGGCCCTTTAATGATGACAGATTAGGGCCCTTTAATGATGTCAGATTCGGGCTCTTTAATGATGACTTGACATGACAATGTTACATATTGCTACGATAAGTAAGAACCATGAGAGGACAAGAGGAAAGAGAACAGTCCCCAGCTGAACACATGAACCAATGGAATCAGTCACACCAGCAGCTCTGATTGGTCAGAACGCTGCCCTCTGATTGGTCAAAGCGCGGCCGAGTCCCTCTGTTGGAATTCTGCTGTTGTTGTGTCCCTGGGTAAGACACTTAACCCTGCTTTGCCTGAAGCCCCCGCTGAAATACCATGGCTGTATCTTTGATGACGGAGAAGCCAGGAGGACCAGAGGGACTGGTGCTATGAGACTTGGGTGGCCCCCCCAATGACAGGTCACGTTGGCCATGTTTGGATCGCTCTGGGTGTTCCATGGCAACACAAAAACAAATATCTGATAGGAGCAGAAGAATGTGTGTGGAAATAACACAGCTGATAAAAATGTGTTTGGATGTTTGTGTGTGTGTGTGTGTGTGTGTGTGTGTGTGTGTGTGTGTGTGTGTGTGGTGTACTGTGTGTGTGTGTGGTATTGTAATGTGTGTGTGTGTGTCGTATGGTATTACTTCTTGTTTTTTGTATTGTAGTGTGTTGTTTTTCTTGTAAAGTGTGTGTGTGTTTGTGTGTGGTATTGTATGTGTGGTATGTGTGTGTGTGTGTGTGTGTGTGTGTGTGTGTGTGTGTGTGTGTGTGTGTGTGTGTGTGTGTGTGTGTGTGTGTGTGTGTGTGTGTGTGTGTGTGTGTGTGTGTGTGTGTGTGTGTGTGTGTGTGTGTGTGTGTGTGTGTGTGTGGTGTACTGTGTGTGTGTGTGGTATTGTAATGTGTGTGTGTGTGTCGTATGGTATTACTTCTTGTTTTTGTATTGTAGTGTGTTGTTTTTCTTGTAAAGTGTGTGTGTGTTTGTGTGTGGTATTGTATGTGTGGTATGTGTGTGTGTGTGTGTGTGTGTGTGTGTGTGTGTGTGTGTGTGTGTGTGTGTGTGTGTGTGTGTGTGTGTGTGTGTGTGTGTGTGTGTGTGTGTGTGTGTGTGTGTGTGTGTGTGTGTGTGTGTGTGTGTGTGTGTGTGTGTGTGTGGTGTGTGTGTGTGTGTGTGTGTGTGTGTGTGTGTGTGTGTGTGTGTGTGTGTGTGTGTGTGTGTGTGTATGAATGTAAAAACGTATGGTCAAATAAATAAATGATGGAGAATGAAAGGAAAGCTTCTTGGATGAAGCTAAAGTAGGTTATAGAGTAATGAGGCTAACGAAGCAGCAGGAGATGGGTTCGTTATCCACACATCTCACCGCAGCGTCTGTTTCTTTAGTCGTTTTTGGGTTGGAACAGAGAGTCACAACAAGCAGACGTCATAGAGTCACAACAAGCAGACGTCATAGAGTCACAACAAGCAGACATCATAGAGTCACAACAAGCAGACATCATAGAGTCACAACAAGCAGACATCATAGAGTCACAACAAGCAGACGTCATAGAGTCACAACAAGCAGACATCAGAGTCACAACAAGCAGACATCATAGAGTCACAACAAGCAGACGTCATAGAGTCACAACAAGCAGACGTCATAGAGTCACAACAAGCAGACATCATAGAGTCACAACAAGCAGACATCATAGAGTCACAACAAGCAGACATCATAGAGTCACAACAAGCAAACGTCATAGAGTCACAACAAGCAGACGTCATAGAGTCACAACAAGCAGACATCATAGAGTCACAACAAGCAGACGTCATAGAGTCACAACAAGCAGACGTCATCCATCCATCTAACTAACTAACTAACTAACTAATCTTTATTTATGACTGTCTATCTATCTCAATCTTAATCTTACACACTAGGTTAAATTCTCCAGCTCGGGTCCTGACCAAGCCGAAGCACCAACATCTGGAGATGGGTTCCCGGGCGCTGTTACTACGGCGACCACTGCTTCTGACGTAAGCCTTAGTGGCATCAGGATGGGTCAAATGCAGAGGATGAATTGTCCTACAGAGATTAATAAATGTATCTATCTCTGTCTATCTACTGTATCTATATAAGTAACTGTCTGTCTATCCATCTAAGCTGAACTTCCCATCTCAGTCTGGGGTCGTGGGACTGGCAGAAGGCGGCCGTCCTGGGACCAAAGGCTTGTGTTTGATGTGCGACTGCAGATTTAAAGGGACGGGACCTAATTTATGAATGAACATGTGACAATGAAGGAAACGTGAGGAGAGCGAGAGCCACAAGCAGGACGTAGCAATGAGATAAACCACCATGTCTTTGATCAGAGAGATAACGATATGTTTGGTCTCACGTCAACGCTCAAACTGACATGGAAAAAGTAAAAAAATGGCTTGTTTTTAAACTTTATACTTGCTTCTTTATTATGCTAACATTAGTTCTGTAACTGCAACACTGACATTCAAAATCACAGGGTATTTTCGCCCCAAAAAACCCCAAATCACCTCTTCTTTCCACACATTTCTTTCCCAACATTACTGTAAACCTGCTTTTCAGACAGTAAAGAGTAGAGAAGTAAAGAAAATCATCTCTAAATCATCTGCGATATGTCCAGTAGTGACTCACATGTCTGCAAGTGTGCAACCGTTAAAAAGTTCTTTCAAATTAGTCTCTTTCTGGACTATAAGGCGCACCTGCATATAAGCCGCACCACCTGCATTTGAGAAGAAAATCAGTTTTGTCCACATATAGGCCACACTTGAATATAAGCCTCAAGTTTTCATGTTGTAATGTAGCAGAGACGACAAGGTTTTTTGACAGCTTAACCGTTAGCTTCCATCACTCATTCACTTTCTGTTATGACAATAAACCAGTGTCCTGTAGCTACTGAAACTTTATGGATTCAAAGTAATGAGTCCATAAACTCTACTCTGACAGCAGCCCAACTCTACCACAATAAAAACACACATTAGCTGCATCGCTATATAAGCCACAGGGTATAAAGAACTAGAAAAAAGTAGTCATACTTAGTCATACTTTTGAATATGTATTCCAGTGTGGTTTTATTGCAATTGGCAAATGAATGGAACCTATGCACATATAAACCGCATCGCTATATAAGCCGCAGGGTTCGAGAAACTAGAAAAAAAGTAGCTTCTTACAATCTTGAAATCACCGGGAACAGAAACATGGAAAGCCCAGTCCAGCCGTTAAAAAAACACAAAGCCACAAAAAGTGAAGCCCAACTCTACCACAATAAAACCACACATTAGCTGCATCGCTATATAAGCCGCAGGGGTATGAAGAACTAGGAAAAAGTAGCATCAGAATCAAGCGGATCAATAAAGTACTGTATCAATCTATCTATCTCTTCTTGTAGTCAGGAAATTACAATTATTATGAATCAAAACAGAAACATAGAAGAAAACAACTCTACCACAATAAAAACACACATTAGCTGCATCGCTATATAAGCCGCAGGGTCTAAAGAACTAGAAAATAGTAGCAGCTTAGAAAGAGAAGTCGTACTTTTCATTTATGTACTTGCCTGGTGCACACTCGGTACTTTTGCGCATGTATTCCAATGTGGTTTTACAGCAAACAGAAAATATACGCATACTATCCGCATCACTATATAAGCCGCAGGATTCGAGAAACTAGAAAAAAGTAGCGTCTGGAAATCACAGGGAACAGAACCATAGAAAGCCCAGTCCATCCGTTAAAAAACCCACAAATGACCAGAAGTGAAGAGAGAAAGTCCCCATGCAGAAGCCGTCAGCGCGGGACACAAACAGAGATAAATCTGGAGCTAGTTCTAGTTACCGCCGGCGTTTCTGAATGATGTCGATGGGCCTGTTGACCGCGCAGGGTGACCCCCACTTGTTGGCGCTCCTCGGTCCAATCCCGGCCCGGCAGTTTATGGGCACACTCATTCTCCTTCTACTACAGCGTCTAAAAAGTCTACCGTCCTCACCCGCCTCCCCTCCTCCTGCGCTTCCTCCTCAGCTCTGGTCCATCCCGGGCTGCTGCGCCTCCTTCTCGGGCTCCCGTGCGCTTCCTCTGCAGCTGCTGCGGGACATGAGAGCTCATTCCTTCTCCCCCTTTTGGACAGCTGCTGCTCAGACTCCTGCAAAGTCCTGGGCTGCCATAGCGGAGAAGGAGGAGGAGAAGAAGAAGAACGCTCTCTCTCTCTTTCTCTCTCTCACGGTCGGTCTCTCTCTCGCGTCTGGCTGAGTGGCTTTGGTGGTAATCTAGACAGATGAAGGCGCTTGTGCTGCGTCTGGGCTGTCACCTCCTGTTGGGACGCGCTCTGGTTGCGTCTTGTGTGTGGAGAGAGACGGAGAGTGTGCGTCACTGGGAGGCATGTGATCGGGGGCAAGTGTCTGTCCCAATGCCTGCAATGGTGAGGGAGAGAGAGGGGAGGGGGGAGTGTGTGTGGGGGGGGGCAGGGGGAAAGAAGGGGGTGTCTAACATGAGGAGAGAGAAGTTTGAGAAGTGAGAGAGGAGGAGGCAGGACGAGCGAGATTCACAAATGTGCGGCTGGTTTAACTCCTTCAAGACTGACGCAGAGGTGTCGAGTACTCAGAGTGGGAAAGTTACTATGAAAACTTTATACATGATGTGAACCCCAGCAAGAATCTTTTAGAGAAATAATTATGCAAAAATCTAGAAACCGGCTCCCATTCTGGAAAATCCCCCCAAAAACAGAGCGCTTTAGTTTTTCACTGGTTTAACTAAACTTCAATGTTTTACATGTTTTTTCCCTTTAATAAGTGTTAAAACTGTCACTAGGGAACTTGAAATACAACCTAAATGCTAACAGCTTACAGTAAACAGTGTGTTGCTATGGTAACTAGCACTTTCTCTTCTCTGGTCAAAAACTACATGAACCAAAACCAGTCCAGGACCACCTCAGGACCAGTCCAGGACCACTCCAGGACCACCTCAGGACCAGTCCAGGACCCCCCTAGGACCAGTCCAGGACCAGCCTAGGACCAGTCGAGGACCAGCCTAGGACCACCTCAGGACCAGTCCAGGACCAGCCTAGGACCACTTCAGGACCAGTCCAGGACCACCTCAGGACCAGTCCAGGACCAGCAAATTGGAGAAAAGGGGCTTTAACTGTCATTGTATGTCGGTTGCCAAGCAACTGAAAACAGCAACATTTGAATCTTACTGTGGCAGTCAAAATGACTGCTGAATGCTCTGGGAGCTAAAGCTAGAAGATAAGTAAAAAAAAAAAGAAAATGACGTAGAAATAAACTACAGATAGAGACATGACAAGTCACAAAGTACAAGATCAGAAATAGCAGTGACTACACTTCCAAAACTAAGAGCCGTCAAAGTGACTGCTCTGGGAGTTCAAGTGTCCAAGAAAAAGTCTGTATTTTTCTCACCCTGGCGATCAGTTTTCTAGAAGGTGAAAGAACTGCTTAAAGTAGAAAATATATGGATGTGTTTAAGGATAATGTTGTGTCGCTGAGATATCACTATCATTACAACATTAGTCCAACTCAAACGTTGCAGCAGCCGTTGACCACAGCTGCAAAGGAGATGTTAAAGAAGAAGTTAAGTTCTATCCACTTTTTTATATTTATGCATTTAACCTCTACAACAGACATGGTCAGTATTTTAGATCTGCCTGAGCTCTAACCTCCATGAGACATACTGTGTTAAAGACCGTGTTACAGTTGAAGCCAAGACTGTTTATTGCTCTAAACATGGGGACACATGGTAAGGATTCATTGTTCAGGACCAGGTTTGAGGAAGGACCGATGCAGAGGGTCTGAGGACAACAGGGGTCCTGGGAATTTATATCTATGGACAGTGGTCGCCTCACTCCCTCTGGACCCACGGCTCTGTGTTTGTTATTACTGCATTTCCTGCCTTTAAACTGTAGGATTCTCTGATCTGTTGTTAAAGAAACTAGAGAGAAAGACCAGAGAGAGAGACCAAAAAGAGACCAGAGAGAGGGACCAGAGAGAGAGACCAGAAAGAGACCAGAGAGAGGGACCAGAGAGAGAGACCAGAAAGAGACCAGAGAGAGGGACCAGAGAGAGAGACCAGAAAGAGACCAGAGAGAGGGACCAGAGAGAGAGACCAGAAAGAGACCAGAGAGAAAGAGAGAGACCAGAGAGAGAGACCAGAGGGAAAGAGAGAGACCAGAGAAAGACCAGAGAGTGACCAGAGAGAGAGACTAGAGAGAGAGAGAGAGACTAGAGAGAGAGAGACCAGAGATAGACCAGAGAGAGAGACCAGAGAGGGAAAGACTAGATAGAGACCAGAGATAGACCAGAGAGAGAGACTAGAGAGAGAGACTAGAGAGAGACCAGAGAGAGAGAGACTAGATAGAGACCAGAGATAGACCAGAGAGAGAAAGACAAGAGAGAGATCAGAGAGAGAGACCAGAGAGCAGAGAGAGAGACCAGAGGGACTAGAGAGAGAGAGAGAGAGAGAAAGAGACTAGAGAGAGAGCGACCAGAGAGAGACTAGAGAGAGACCAGAGAGAGACCAGAGAGCAGAGAGAGAGACCAGAGGGACTAGAGAGAGAGAGAGAGAGAGAAAGAGACTAGAGAGAGAGCGACCAGAGAGAGACTAGAGAGAGACCAGAGAGAGAGACTAGAGATTCTGTCAGAAGATATTGTTGGCTGAATGCAGGACATGCTAACATGCTAACAGCCTCTTTCAGATATCATCAGTCTGAAGTCTGAGTCTTTTTATTGATTGGTTTCACAATGATTGTTTTCTGTAGTTTACGGATTGTACATTGTGTAGTTTACGGATTGTACATTGTGTAGTTTTAGGATTGTACATTACTGTATCCATGTATTTTATTGATGTAACCAGGGACTGCAGATGGAAACAGCTGTTTAGCTTTAATCTGGTGCAGAACATATCTGTCTTTGAGCTTAATGTCTCTGTACACTGTCCCTTCAAATAAAGACTAAACTAAACTAAACTAAACTAGTTTCAGCTTGTTTTATTTTTGTCATTTTAGCTCTTGCACATGTATTCCAATGTGGTTTTACTGCAAATGCCAAATAAAGAAGCTGAATCTGAATAATTTTTGACCAGAGAACAACATCATAGGTGTAGGTAGGTAAACAAACTCAAACACATTCTGTATGTTTTATTTAAGAGCGAGTCCCCTCTTTGAAATGCCTTTGTTCGCATTGTTAGCATCGTTAGCATCGTTAGCATTGTTAGCATCGTTAGCGGTGTTGTGTAAAGAGATTGATGTCAGTGCGGTATGACGGGGAATTAGAGTAAGTAGATGAGACACCTGCAGAATGTCCTCTGTGTGTCTCTCTCAGGCTTATGCAGGTCAGACACACAGGGCAAACACAAACCCAGAGAACCAGGATGAAGACAGGCGCAACTTTTAAAATAAATATTTGACAAAAGGGCAGAGGGAGAGGCTCCCTCTATAGCTATATAATATATATAATTATATACTAACTATAGCTAGACTGTAGCTAGCTATAGTTAGTATATAATTAGGGCTGAAGCTAATCGAGAAATACAGAGAGGGTCTAAGGACAGCGGTCCCAGGAACTCCACATTAAATTACTTTTATGGACATTGGACTCTGCCCCTTATGATTCAAGATTCAGGAATTGTATTTGCAGTAAAATCACATTGGAAAAACTGTGCAAGACGACCCCAGTGTGGACCAATGCCTCTGTGTTTTTTCATAATTAGATTTAGAATGGTATAATTAGTTTGATTCTCTGGTCTGTGTTGGTGAATCTGTTATTATGTGTTGCTCTACCTCCGCCTTCAGTTATGAATGAATGATTTATTTCAAGCAATGACACAATAACAACATTTAAATGCACACAACGCACACTGGCTCTCTCACTCACACAGACAGACACTGGTCCAAACACTCCCTGACCACACACCTCTCTCTCCCCGCTCTGTCAAAAAAGTATTTTGTGACTTTTGAGACAATGGTGGAGTGAGAAACTATTGACGGTTGGATTTGTGTGTTTTATCTCATCATTTTATTTTTTATATACATAATGCACACACGGTTTTTCCCATTTGATATTTTTATGATTTTTTTAATTAGTATTTTATTGTGCATAAATATATAAATGACGTGGATTGGATTGGAAAGGTGGAATAAAATGGATCTCAGCAAAGACCAGAGGAAAGTTACTCCACTTTAAATCCACAATGGAACAACATTAGTATTCTGGTCAGACACACACCAAATGACAGCAACACAACAGGAGCAGCAACACATTCACTGTCAACACATACAGGTTTTTGACACACAAAGAACATGGAAAAGAGAAACTTCATTCATCCCACAGAGAGAAGACAAAATACAGAATGAAGCAGCTGAATGTGCAGATGTAAATACACACCTAAACCTGGAGAGAGACCAGAGAGAGAGAGACCAGAGAGAGACAAGAGAGAGACCACAGAGAGAGAGACCAGAGAGAGACCACAGAGAGAGACCAGAGAGTGACCACAGAGAGAGACCACAGAGAGAGACCACAGAGAGAGACCACAGAGAGAGACCAGAGAGAGACCACAGAGAGAGACCAGAGAGTGACCACAGAGAGAGACCACAGAGAGAGACCAGAGAGAGACCACAGAGAGAGACCACAGAGGGAGACCAGAGAGAGACCAGAGAGAGGCAAGAGAGAGACCACAAAGAGAGAGACCAGAGAGAGAGAGACCAGAGAAAGAGAAAAGAGAAAGACAAGAGAGAGAGACCAGAAAGAAACCAGAGAGAGAGAGAGAGAGACCAAACAGACAGACCAGAGAGAGAGACAAGAGAGAGAGACTAGAAAGAAACGAGAGAGAGAGAGAGACCACAGAGAGAGACCAAACAGACAGACCAGAGAGAGAGAGAGACCAAACAGACAGACCAGAGAGAGAGACAAGAGAGAGAGACTAGAAGGAAACGAGAGAGAGAGAGAGAGACCACAGAGAGAGACCAAACAGACAGATCAGAGAGAGAGAGAGACCAAACAGACAGACCAGAGAGAGAGACAAGAGAGAGAGACTAGAAAGAAACGAGAGAGAGAGAGAGACCACAGAGAGAGACCAAACATACAGACCAGAGAGAGAGA